AGTATTATAGATACTTTAAAATTCATTTATTATTATTTTCTTCATTTATCTTTTTATTTGTAATTTTATTTTTAAATATTTATATATCATATATATTTAATAATTTAATTTAAGTATTAATTATTATATTATCCACGACTTCACATATTTATTTTAAATTTAAAATATAAAATTAACGCTTTGATATTCAAATTTTATATAAAAAAAATGTAAATTTGCCATGTGTTTAGATGTTGGATAAAAACTTGAGAAGTGTTGTAAGTACAGTAGAAAATTTTTGACAAGTATTATTGATACTGCAAAATTCATTTATTATTTATATATCATACATTATATATATTTAATAATTTTAATATAAAATATTATTCTTTATATTATCTATGACTTTCCATATTTATTTCAGACTAAAAAATAAACCAACACACTCATATTCAAATTTTATATTCTTTCCGTCTCAATATATTAGTATTATTTACCATTTTTGTTCGTCACAAAACAATAGTCTCATTTCCATAAATAATCATATCACCATAAAATTATCCATACTTTTTATTATTATTACACTAATATACTCACAATCGCAAAAAAGTTATTTATCCTTATTTTTTACCGATTACTAATATAATATCAATATTCCTTAAATCTCGTATCCAATATAATAAGACTGTACTTTTAGGACGAGTGGATATAAAAAATGTAAACTTGCTAGGTGTTTAGATGCTAGAGAAAAACTTACAGAGTGTCGTAAATACAATAGAAAAAAATTGACAAGTATTATAAATACCTCAAAATTCATTTATTATTATTTATGTTTTTATCTGTATGTTTATTTTTTAAATATTTATTTATCACATATATATATATATTCTATATACATTTAAAAATTTAATAATTAAAATATTAATTCATATACCATCCATGCTTCATATATTTATTTCAAATTAAAAATATAAAATCAAGATACTCATATTCAAATTTTATATAAAAAAAAAATGTAAACTTATCATGTGTTTAAAATAGATGCAAAAAAAAAACATTGATAAGTGAAAAAACTTTGAGTAGTGTTGTAAGTACAGTGAAAAAAAATTTAACAAATATTATAGATACAGTAGAATTCATTTCTTATTTATCTTTTTTTACTTGTATGATTATTTTTTAAAATTTATATTATATATATTCTACATATATTTAATAATTTATATAAAATATTAATCTTTATATTATTCATGACTTCATATATTTATTTTAGACTAAAACATATAAACTAATTCACTCATATTCAAATTTTATATAAAAAAATGTAAAATTTGACATGTATTTAAATTCTGAAAAAAAAAAAAAAAAAAACTTGACAGGTGTTATAGGTACTACAGAAAAAATTTGACAAGTATGACATATTATGCAAATTTTATTGATTATTGTTTATTTATTTTATTTTTATGTTTATTTTTTTAACATTTTTAGTCAATTAAAAAGAATAGATTTTCTTATTTTTTATTCTTTAAAAAATAATACTCCATATTAAACCGTAAACATGTTAATAAAGAGGTTATTTTCTTCAAATTTTGTTATAAATTTTTTATACTATTTATATTTTATCATTCATATTTAAATTTTATATAAAGAAAATATAAACTTGACATGTGTTTAGATTCTGAAAAAAAAAAAAACTGACACGTGTTGTAGATACAGTAGAAAATTTTTGACAAGTATTATAGATACCGTAAAATTTATATTTATTATTTATTTTTTATGTATGTTTATTTTTTTAACATTTTTAGTTAATTAAAAAGAATAAAATTTCTTATTTTTTGTTCTTTAAAAAATAATATTCCATATTAAACAGCAAATATGGTAATAAGAAGGCTATTTTCTTCACTTTATTTTATATATTTTTTATACTTTATAATTTATATTCAAGTTTTATATAAAAAATTGTAAATTAGACATGTATTTAGATTCTGAAAAATAATTTACACTTATTGCAAACAAAAATTTTTTTTGACAAGTATTATAGATTATGCAAAATTTATATTTATTATTATTATTTTATGTATGTCCATTTTTTAACAATTTAGCTAATTAAGAAGAATTCTTTTTTCTTATTTTATGTTCTTTAAAAAATAATACTCCGTAATATACAAAAAATATGTTAATAAGAAGACTATTTTCTTCACTTCATATATATATATATATATATATATTATATTATTAGTATCTTATCATTCATATTCAAGTTTTATATAAAAAATGTAGAATATAAATTATTTTTGATCCCATTCAATATCATAATTATCAATTTTGGTCTCATTAAAAAAAATTATCAATTTTGGTTCTACTCAAATAAAAATTTATCAATTTTAGTTCCAAGATGGTTGACTGAGACAGAACACAGCCGTGTTGGCTTGAACACGGCCGTGTTGGATGACGCAGAAGGTGACTGGTCATCCAGACAGCCAACACGGCCGTGTTGATTATCCTGCGCTTCTGAACACGGCCGTGTTCCTGCCCGTGTTGCTGCCCGTGTTCTGAACATAGTCATATTCCTGTTCATATTCATGCCCATGTTCTGAACACAGTCATATTATAGGACATGTTCCTGCCCATGTTCTCAACACAGCCATGTTCTAGACCATGTTCACGACTATGTTTTTAATATAATCATATTGTAGGTCATATTTATTATTCTTTTTACTTTTTGGTTAAAATTATTTGATATATATATTTATAATTCAACAAAAATATTTTTTAAAATTATTTCATAATATAAAAAATAATCAATTTTTAATATTTTAAAAATATATAACAATAATAATATATTAATATATATTTTTAAAATTGATAATTATATATATTTTTAAAAATTTATAGTAAAAAATTTAGAATATTATTTTAAATTAATTATTTATATAAATTATAAATTAAATTTATTATTCAAAATAATATTTTAAAATAATACTCCTCCTTCCCAAGTTTGATGTCTGGGTCACTGTAGACACGAGAATTTAGGATAAGTATAATTAGTATATAATCAAGAATGTATTAATGAAAATAATTATCATATAATATAAATAATTATAAATTAATATTAAAATAACTCATTAGTTTAATTAAAATTAAATAAAAAATTAAATTAAAAATAGTGTGTAATTATTTTTCAAAGTATATATATTAAAAATATATATTAATATATTATTATTTTTATATATTTTTAAAATATTAAAAATTGATTATTTTTTATATTATGAAATAATTGTAAAAATATTTTTGTTGAATTATAAATATATATGTCAAATAATTTTAACTAAAAAGTAAAAATAATAATAAATATGGCCTACAATATGATTATATTGAAAAATAGTCGTGAACATGGCCTAGAACATGGTTGTGTTGAGAACATGGGCAGGAACATGGCCTAAAACATGGCTGTGTTGAGAACATGGGCAGGAACATGGCTGTGTTGAGAACATGGACAGGAACATGGTTGTATTCAGAACACGGACAGCAACACGGCCGTGTTCAGAAGCGCAGAGTAATCAACACGGCCGTGTTGCCTGCCTGGGACGCCCAGTCACCTTTTGAGTCATCCAACACGGCCGTGTTCAGTCTCAGTCAACCATCTTGGGACTAAAATTGATAAATTTTCATTTGAGTGTAACCAAAATTGATAATTTTTTTTTGAATAAGACCAAAATTGATAATTATGATATTGAATGAGACCAAAAATGATTTTTACTAAAAAAAAAATAAAAATAAAAATGTAAACTTGACATGTGTTTAGATTCTGAAAAAAAAAAAAAAAAAATTGACATGTGTTGTAGGTACTACATAAACAATTTGATAAGTATTATAAATACGGCAAAATTTATTTATTATTATTATTATTTTTTATTTGCATGTTTATTTTTTAACATTTTTTGTTAATTTAAAAGAATAACTTTTCTTATTTTTTATTCTTTAAAAAATAATACTCCATATTAAACAGTAAATATGTTAATAAGAAGACTATTTTTTTAGCTTGTATATATATATACATACTTTTTATATTTTAGAATTCTCTATAAAATTCAGTATTTATTTTTTATTTATAAAATACCACTTACATAAATTTCAAATAAATAATTATATTCTTTGATTTATTTTTTTTTATGCAATCTTCACTTCCAAAAAACAAAATATTATTTTATTTTTCAGAATACTCACTTCATCCAGAATGAATGGATACAATCGAGGTTTTATAGTATATTAAGAAATATTAGTATTTTATTAGTTAGTAAAATTGTGTAAGAGGATTTTGACAATTTTGTCATTTGACTTTATAAAGTAAAAAAATATGATTTTAATAAAAAAATATGATTTTGTAAAAAATATTAAAAAAATATTTTCTTATATCAATAAGACGATTACTCATACCTAATATAGAAAACACATTTTAATTAGAAATCACAATTATTCACCCTATATGATTTTAATAAAAAAAAATATTATTTTTTTTATAAAATATTATATTAAAATAATATTTAAATAAAAAATTTATTCGTTTTTATATGATTTCTTTCGTTCCGTGTTGAAATAGACCATTAACTAAAACTCAAAAGACTGTGCGTATCTTTTTGGGAATTTTTTTTCATACATTTAAAAATATATATATTTATATATTAAATACATTTATTATTTTATATTTTTTACATAATTTTTTATAACTCATATCATAAAATATCATCGCTAAGTTATTTCACAAAACAAAATATCACTTTATTCGATGCTCATTTGGGCCTAACTATACTAATTTTGATAGTCAAACCCAAATTTCTAACTACAACAAACATCTACTTGGTCCTAGAAGGTTCTTTGGGCCTAAAACAAATTGGGCCAAAGCCCAAAAATAGCTGCGTTACTCATAGTACCAAAATTTGAACGCACTCGCTATTACTACATATGTACAGTACATTATATACACGCGCGCGCGCGTGCACATACATGTCTCTGTATATACGTGTACATATATATAGCCCTAGCGGTTCCCTTCTAATTTCTGTGCTCTCTGGATCTTTCAATTTTCACTCAATAAACCCTACTCTCTCGAAATCTCCCCATTTCGGTCCTTCGAAAGTTCATACATGGAGTTCTGGGGTAAGTTGCTGTTTCCTGGATCACACTGATGGTTATGGTTGCTTTGGATCTTCTCCGCGTATATTGTTTTCGTTTATAATTTTTAAAATTGTTCTATAAAATGTGTTTTTCTGTTGGTGATACATTTTTGCATCGATGTTGCGTTCGCGGATGCTGTTCTGTACAGTTTTTCTGTAAAACTGAGGAAAAACTGAGCAGAAGGCGATGTGTGATTTGGTTGTTTGTGAATGGGGCATAGTTACCGGTCGGAGGCCTCCTTCGGTGGAATTGTGTACTTCATTTCCGTATTTTGTTGGTTTAATACCGAATCGATGTTCTATTAGATTGTTTGTGCCTTGTTTGTGAGGTGCCTTGCTGGATTTGTCTGAGAATCTTTTTCGGTGATTTAGGGTTGTGATTGTAGTCTGCTTTCAACTAGACATGTGTGTTTATAGATAGATACTGTACCAGCTCATGTTCCTGCCTCTTTATATTTAGCTTTGTGTTAACGGTTGCAGATTGTTGAGTTTATTGTGAATTTATGTTTACGTTTTGTGTAGCATGTGTTGTTCCTTCACTGTTGCCTGACTAATATTTGCGCTCTCATCTCCAGGTGTTGAGGTAAAAAGCGGAGAGCCTCTTAATGTGTCGCCAGGTGATGGAATGGTTTTGCATCTTTCTCAGGTACATCGAACAATCTGTTTTCACCAGTGTCATGCTTGTTTGAGTTTAGGTATTGTCAATTTTGTATCCATTTGTGCAGGCATCTCTTGGTGAACTGAAAAAGGAAAGAGGAAAAGAATCTGTATGCCTGTTTGTGACTGTTGATGATAAGAAACTAGTTCTTGGAACACTTTTCACTGAGAAGTTGCCTCAGCAGCAGTTTGACTTAGTTTTTGATCGGGATTTTGAGATATCTCACAACTGGAAAAATGGAAGTGTCTACTTCTATGGTTACAAGGCCAGCAACCCCTTTGAAGAAGAATATCCTTAATATACTCGCTCAATTTGTGAGAATACTTTATTTAGACAACTCGAATGCTCTGGTCGGTAATTTTCTTGTATGTATTCTGGTCCTTAACTTTGCTTGGATTTTGCTGCCACGGACTTGCCTGGGGGAGAATCTGGTAATTATTGATTGTCCACTTAAATCATATCATACATGATTTACTTACCTTAGATGTTGTATGTTTGTGTGCTGTTTAGTGACCTCTGTTTATATGTTTTATACAGACGATTCTGATTCAGAAGAGCTTCCAATAAACATTGCAAACAATGGTATATCCTTTCTGTCTCTTTGACTTGAAGTTTAGACTAATTTTTTGAAAAATGTGTTATGGCATCTGAAGTTGTAGGGAAACCTGAGTCAAATTCTAAGCAAGATAAGCCTGTTGAAGCTGGGAAACCTGCTGTTGCTAGTAAAAAGGAGTCTGGTAGCGGCAAGCCTAAAGTGACAATCTCAGAGCCAAAGAAAGATTTGAAGCCTGAGGAGGATGATGAAAGTAGCGATGATGACATGACCGATGATGACGATGAAGACGATTCTGAGGTATACTTGATCAAATGTTTTTAGTGTGCATTTATTTTCCGATGTTAAACTGTTGGAATTTTGTTGTGCAATGCTTTTTGTGGGTCCATAAAATCATTCTAGCTTGTTATAATATCTGATCAAACATAAGAATAAAGAACAATAAATAGAATATTATGTGCAAAATTGTGCCAACTGTTTATTAGTTTCCACGCGGTGCATTCTTGAATTTATTATGTGATTGAGTCTCTTTGTGATGTTAGAATATTTGATTATGTGCTAAATTGTGCCAACTGTTTATTAGTTTCCACGTGGTGCATTCTTGAATTTATTATGTGATGAGTCTCTTTGAGATGTAAATGGCATTTTTACTGCCAAATTAAATGCCTAACGATGCTTGTAACTTTTATTCAATACAAGTTACTATTGTTGTAAATGGCTTCTGCCGTGGCCTGTCACAGTCCCATTTGCTCTGGCTAGGGTACATTTCTTCAATCCAAAACTTGTAGGCATGCATGCAGTGTGCTGTAACCCCGGCTCTCTTGAATTGCAGCATGTTTTATAGAACTTTTCATAATGAGATTGGAAATCGATGGAACTTTTCTGATTCACTACCTTAGGATTTGTTTAAATGTGTTTTTTTTTATCCCTATATTTAACTACTCAATCTCTCTGTTTCTCTTGAAAAACATCACATCATATATCAAATTTTCATTCAGAACTCTCTATCCAACAACTATTTCACTCGGAAAAACAACAGAATAAAATAATAAAAGGAAAATACTAGGATGTGGGTTTGGGAGTTTAAAATGGTAGAAAATGAATTGCAGTGATGTGAAATAGGTATTTGTGATGTTTTGAGTGGAAAAGGAATTTTCTATTTAATATTTCAAATGGAAATTCGGTGTTTGATTTGATAGTTTCGAGGCTTAAAAAAACGATAGTATTGTGAGACCAGGTAGAAACCTACAATGAAACAAACCCCTAAATCCTGTCAAAAATTGGGGTGTGTTCTTTTACACAATTTTCCAACACATTTTTTCAAAAAAATTAATATATTACACTCATTATTTTTATATTATGTACACAATTTCCTATACCTCCAAACCAAAACACAAAACAAACACACCCTTGCTTTTGACATCCAACGTCTTCAGGGGCTTATTTTGTTTCCACATGCGTCACCTGTGTTACTTGTGTTGTTTTCAATTCCCTTTCATTTCTGTTCTGTATTTTCTGCATTAATACTGTGATCGAATCAATTAATAATTTATTATACATGTGTCAGCTTTATATGCCATAATCCCTAACAACGTAGAAATATATTTCAACATCTTTACAGCTCTACATCAACCAACTGCAAGTGTAGAGAAGTCATTATTTAAGTCTTGTTCAAAAAAATATGTTTTCAGTTTTCTCAAAATGTCCTGTGTCCGTACTTTTGCATCTCTCTGTTCACCATTTACAGGACTCTGATGGACTACCCAAGTCGGATGACTCTGACGAATCCGATAGCGATGAAGAGACACCAAAAAAGGTATGCATTGGATCACAAGTGATAATAATCTAATGTGATTGGTTTTAATTTTGAACTCTTCCTATGTCAAAAAAAGGTTGAACCTAGCAAGAAGCGTCCAGCAGAATCACCCACAAAAACGCCTTCGAACAAGAAGGCAAAAGCTGCTCAGCAAAAACCCGGTAACTCCTGTCATTAACTAATTATATTTTCAATATCCGATTTTATTTCTTCTATCATATATATATACTCCTTCCAACCGGGCTTCTTATTTGATAAGTAGAAAAAATAGTAGAAAATTGGTTATTATTTGTTAAAGTGTAAAGAGTAATAAAATTACGAGCGGATAATGTTATTTACTACAAATAGACTATGCATAAGTTTAGTAGATAACAAAAAAAAGAGAAAAACTATCATAATTATTTACTGTTGAATCTGCTGTACTATGATGCTATCCTATCGATCTAAATCTTTACTCCTATTTTCATCCACCATTATAGATGGCAAGAAAGGTGAACCCCATGTAGCTACACCTCACCCTGCAAAGCTGGCCGGAAAAGCCGCTCCAGCTCCCAGCAAGCCAAACCAGCAGACTCCAAAATCTGCCGGAACACATTCTTGCAAGAGCTGCAACAGGTATATCTTGCAGTATATAAAAAAAGGATTTATCTGACGGTATTTGGTAACAAAATCAATTTATTTGATTGCCAGATCATTTGGGTCCGCCCAAGCTTTGGATTCTCACACCAAAGCCAAACATGGAAACTAAAAGTGTCGATGCGCCTTCTTCTGCCATCTTGCTGAGCCCAGACAGCAATTTTTAAGGAACAGATAATGTCTCAGAAGGTATCGAAATTTATCTAAGCCTAATTACTGTTTTTTTATTTATGGTAGATGGATGGTTTTCTGTGGCTGTGTCAGAGTTTGCTGCAAATTTAGAGCTGTCGAGTAACCTGGTGTTTTCTTTGACATTATCCAACTTGTGCATTTTGGTAGTGTTTGCGCCGTAAATTCTTCTCTGTGGTTCTATGTTTTGGATGATGTGTTACTTGAAAGAAGTTTGCCCCAACCAACAAGTATTTTGTCATGAATGATGTGAGTTCTTTGTTAATTCCTAGTGTTTTTTTTTTCACTGCTTTTGATATCTTTGACATGTCCTGTTGATCCGTGGTAAAGCCGGTCGATTCTCTCTCGACACCCATGTTTTTCTTAGAGTAGTTAATAAATAGATATGATGTTTTGTGAGATAAGATTGGGATGGAATTATCTAAGGTAATATAAAAATAACAAGTTTTGGATTATAATTACTAGTTTATAACTGATGTTGATATATTATATAACAACAAAATATTGATTTGATATTGTTGATGAAAATTCAATTAAAATTTATATATACGCTAATAAGAATATAATTAATATAGATAGTCATTTTTTACATGATACAAAAATAAAAAATATCAATTATTATTATTAACATAAACTAAAATAAAACTAATTTTTATTATATATACTAGTACTATTACTTCATGCGGGTTTTCAAGTCAAGTCACGATTTCAAACCTAGTTATTAGGTGAAAAGTTTTTTAAACGTAGTGCCATTTTATTCTTGTTCTTTCCGCTGTTATTTAATAATAATAATAATAATAATAATAATAAAATAAAGAAACCCCAAATGTGTCCAAACAACATCCTCAAATTACTCGCTCTCACTGAGGCGGCACAAATACACTAACAGCACAGTATTTAAGAAACCAACCAACAAGCTCAATACCTCATCACTCCATACATAACATAGGCCACACCACACTCTGATTCTCAATCCAAACTTCAACAAACCCTACAATAATGGATTTCAATCACACCATCAAGAACCGACCCATTCGTTTTCATCATTTTAAAGCGAGTTTCGAAACTGCTATTTCAATCAAATGATCAATTCCTATCACTACAACAAGCATGTATCCATCCATCACTTGTTCACAATTCATTGACCCCTGCCTACAATAATAATACTTCCAATTCCATGAAGCTTAGCTTCAACTCAACATATAAACCCATCGTATTTATTTCACAATTCAATCAAATTATAGCAGCTACTCAACTACACATGCCAACAACATCCCATTACATTATCACAAGATCACATCCCACAACAAAAATTAATTTCCCAATGTATTGGAAATCGTTGCTCCATTTTCATCACAAGATCGCATCCAAAATTAACAATTGTGGTGGAAATCTCCCAAGTTATTTCGAATCATAGTGCCATTTTCACGTAATCAGCAAATGACATGATAATGACTCTTCAGAATTATCACAAGATCGCATCCAACAACAATTGTGGTGAAAACTTCCCAATCTATTTGAAATCATAGTGAAATTTTCATGTAATCAGCATATCACATGATAATGACATTGAAATTATCACAAGATCACATTCACATCCAACAACAATTATGGTTAAAATTTCCCAATTTATTGGAAATCATAGTGCCATTTTCATGTAATCAGCAAATGCTGGAAGCAAAACCAGAGTACTACTGAAGCTAAACATGAATGATAATGGCGTCAGCGCAACAGAAGACCAGATTATTTCAAAAGTAGAGTAAATGAAAGGGATAGTGACAAAAAACCTCAAATCGCTTTGAGCATGTCCTCAGCACTGCTAACGTTGAATGCACCGCCTTCTTCCAAATTCAGGATTTTAACAACTCCATCTACCACATACATGGCGTACCTCCTCGACCTCACCCCAAGGCCCACCGGCTTATCGCTCAAATCCAGCTCACATCCGATCGCCTTCGTGAAATTGCCATTTCCGTCGCTCAACAGCAAAACCTCGTCGCCAATTTTCAAATCCTCCTTCCACGCCTTCATCACGAACGCGTCGTTGACAGAAATACACGCAATTGAATCGACGCCCTTCGCCTTCAATTCGGAAGCTTTCTCGACGAATCCAGGGAGGTGCTTCTGAGAGCACGTTGGGGTGAATGCGCCGGGAACGGCGAATAGAATCGCCTTTTTGTTGGAGGTCAATTCGGAGACGGTGATTGTCTTCAGCTCGTCCGATGAATCGAAATACGAGAGCTCGGCGTCGGGGAGCTTGTCGCCGACGGAGATGACGGCGGAGATTTTAGGAACGGTGGAGAATCGGCTCCGGAGGGAGAGACTCGCAAATGAGGAAGGCTTTCTGTGCGGAGCAATGAGAGAAAACGGTTGCTTGAGCTTGGGAGTAGAGCAGCCGATGAGCTTCGTGACGGCAAGCGCGGCGGTGGCGGTGGCGGCGGCCATCGTTGACGGCGAATGTGCTTCTCAAATGCAATAAGGTAACCTAATCTATGGCGGTTATCTGATTTAGGGATTTTTGGGCGGATATAACGATGAGGCTGACAGTCGCTTCACTACCGTAGGCGATTCTAGGACATTGTTGTCAGGACCCCTAAACCCGAAATCTGGACTGTTCGTGAGGAAAAGGACGGTCCAGATGTATTCGGTGTTGAGGGCCTGGACCTTCTAGAATTACACTATGAATCTACTGGGCTTTTGGGCCCATCAAATTAAGGGTGTGTTAATTGTTGAATTATTACGACAGTAATTAATTTTGAGTTGCATATAATATTTAAAATTAATATATATTAAATGTAATGTTTAAAAAATTATGGTTTGTTTGTTGTATTTTAATTTATTTGATTTTAGATACATTTATTATATTTTACAAATTTTATTTAAATGTTACTGCAACTCAAATTAAAAAATAAGTATGAGTTATTATACTCTCATGTCCCAGTGAATTTATCTATTTTAGTTGAAACACAGAATTTTAAGTATTATATTATTAATAAATAATTAAAAATATATTAATAAAAATAATTATAAATAATAAATTTAATAATTATAAATTAAAATTAAAATAATTAAATTTAATTAGAATTAAAATTTATAAATTATGAATTTTAAAATATGATTAAAATGTATACTTATATATATATATTTTTAAAAAATGATACATTATATAAGACATAGGAAAATAAAAAAAAATGAAGAAATTATGTCTGATGAAAAAAATATTTTTTAAGAGAACAGAAGAAAAGATGGATTAGATTGTATAATGTGATTTGGCAATTAATTTAGTTGTTTCTTCTTATAAATATATCATATTTAAATAATTATTTAAATAAAAACTTAAAAGAACATCATCAAATGAACACACCAAAAATGATGATATTTTAAAATAGATTTAAAATGTTACACAATCAAATATTTGGTAATATAATATAAATATTGTTATATTAGGTATAAACTTTTAACATAATAAAATATTATACATAAATAATATTTTTTGGTCCAGCCAAACTTAGGATGTTTCTTTTGTAAATTGAAAAGAAAATATCTCTTGGTTGACGAAAAGAGTAATATACGACAATAATTTACCTACAACTTATTATAATTGATTTGAAAATAAAAATATGTTAATATATACATAAGATATAACAAATAATACTACCACGTACTCCTTCAGAACATCTCATTTTTTATAAGTAAATAAATAAATAATACTAATATTTTTTTTATTATTCTGTTTTCTAAAATAATTTTAATATTTTTGTTACTTGTACTTTAAATACAAATTAATTATACATACCAATATATTATAAAAATTTAAAATATTTTATTATTAATATATAATTATTTTTATTATTATCTCGTGAGACAAACAAAAATAAATAAATAATAATGATAATTTCATTGGTTCTCACATTAGCCTTAATTAAGATCCTAATCATTCTCGTTCAAACACAAAATATTCTAAGATATGTGAGAGAAACATTTTAAAAGCTAAATTAAAATTAAAACGAACTGAAAGAGAGCACGTGTCCGAGGGCCACCAAACGACGCCGTAACAGCGCAGTAAGTGTTTTTTTTTATTCTCAGTTCACAGCGCAGGTTTGTAAGTTCCTGCGGTCAAAACAGTCAATTCTAATTTACGCTGGCGGTGCGCACATTAGCAATCTGCGCGCCCAACTTTCCCAAAATAATTATCTCATCTCCAATTTCATTTTCATTTTTATTTTTATTTTTTCTTTCATTCTGCCTGACCTCACTCACTGTTCGTCTTCACCTCTTCGAATCATTATTTTCGCCCAAATTGATTGCCTGATTCGTCCACGATTCCTTATCCTCGCGCAATTATTTGGACCCTAGACAGCAAGATGTTGCTCCAGAGGTGTATTGCTGACCGCTGTTGCTCGAACAAATGGTGAGTTTTCGAGTTCATATATATATGTTCCGCATTGTTCCGGTAAATTGAGGAATTATTTTTTCATGTTCCGGTCTGTTTTGTTGGCGGATTGTGTTGGAGAAGAACAGCGTGTTTGCTACCTGCTTGATTTGTGAAGCTTTTCTGTTTGTGCTTCGCCTGATTTGATTAATTTGGGAAAATTATACTGGATAGTGGAGAATGAATCTGAAATTTAGATCAGAAGGTGTATTGAATTAGTTCCTCAGGCTAATTGTGTAACAGTTTAGTCAAATCAGCCAGCTTATGGTAAATGAAATTTTGATTTAGGGTTTGGACTCTAGACTGATATCCGTAAAGTTCGAGAGATGGTGGGAGAAGCTGTGACGGAGAAGTGGTTTGGTAACATATGGAAAAGTTCATTGAGAAGTATGCCTTGGGAAATTGAGAGACCTGTGTTAGGAATTTTGGCATTTGAAGTATCAAGATTGATGTCAAAAATGGTTAGCTTGTGGCAGTGTTTAGCTTATGGTCAGATGGTTAGGTTGAGAGAGGAAATTTCAAACTCAATTGGAATCCATAGGCTTGTATCTGAGGATGACAACTACCTTATGGATCTTGCTCTTGCGGAGATAATCGAGAACGTGAAAAGTGTGGTGAAATCCGTGGTTATTCTGGGGAAGAAGTGCAGTGATTCGAGATACCATAATCTTGAGCTAGTTTTCGACAATGTGGATGAGATTGATCCAAAATGGTGTGGATGGAAGTACCGGCCGAAGAAGATGGAGAAGAAAGTGAAGAAAATGGAGGGATTTGTCGCGACAACCGAGCAATTATTTCAAGAAATTGAAGTGTTGGCAGAGCTCGAGCAGAGTTTTAGGCGAATTCGAGGCGGAGGTAGTGCAGATTCGAGCCCGGTGAAGATACTCGAGTTTCAGAGGAAGGTATTGCGGCAGCGCCAGGAGGTGAAGAATCTCCGGGACATGTCTCCATGGGGCAGAAGCTTCGACTACATTGTCCAGCTACTTCTCAAATCGATTTTCACCATTATTGACAGGGTCAAGTCTGGTTTTGGCATCGAGCAGATTGGAAATGCTTCGGGAGGCAATGATTATGAGCAGATCAACGGCGAATGTCTTGTTCGTAGTAATTCCATGAGGGCGTCAATTTATCCTTCAGAAGTGAAATCTTTTCGATTCTCGGTTCCTTTAGGGAGGTCGCTCTCGAATCTTGGCTTGGGCGTCGGTAAGCACAAGTCGAAGAGGATAAAATCGCATCTTCAGCCCCGATCATTTTCTCCCGTCGTCGTCGAGAGCAACACTTCGAAAGCTAGAAAAGTGTCGTCGTTCATGAACTCGAAACGCTCGATAATTGATGCTTCGCCCTCGACGCTCGGATTCTCAGCTTTGGCGCTCCATTTTGCGAACATTATCATATTGATCGAGAAGTTAGCGCAGTCGCCTCACCTGATCAGCACCGACGCAAGAGAGGATCTTTACAATATGTTACCGGCGACGATCAAGAGCTCTCTGAGGGCAAAGCTGAAGACGTTCTCCCGAACTCCGGCTTCGTCCGCTCACGACGCTGCTTTGGCAGCCGACTGGAGCTTAGCGATCGGTAATATACTCGAATGGCTGTCGCCTCTCGCGCATAACATGGTGAAATGGCAATCGGAGCGCAATTTCGAGAGGCAAAGATTGGTTTTCCGCTCGAATGTTTTGCTTGTTCAGACGCTATTCTTTGCGAACCAAGCGGAGACCGAAGCCGCGATTGTCGAGCTTCTGATGGGGCTTAATTATCTCTCGAAATTTGGCAGGGGAACTGACTGGACGCCATTGAAGGATCCTCTAAGCTCTGCAAGATGATCAAGTTTGAAAAGGTACATTTAAAATCATTACTGTCTTATAGCCTTCATTTAAATGAACCTTTTTACTGATTTTCCCAGAAATTTGATTTGAAGTTGAGATTGTACAAAACTTGGTTGGATTTGGGATGTTTCTGGGGTTGATGGTTGGATAAGAATTTATACTTGGTGCAAGTTTCTAAGTATACTTTCTCAATGTGTTTTTGTTATTTTTTTCGAGTGAAACGATATTTTTGGGGGCAAAGAATTTATTTTTAGTTCCATCGTGAATCACACTTAAATTTTTGCAATAGGTAATTTTATTTCCACCGTAAACTTAAATTTTTACTCTAAAAGTATATTATCTATATCTAAGAACCCTGCTGCTCGATAGGAATAGGAAAGAACCTCAATTTTAATTTATTTTATATAATATAATCCATACCTGTATAATTTATATTTTTATAAAATTTACATATATATAAAAATTAACATTTATAATTAATAACTATTACAAATAAAATAATTTTTAAAAAATAAAATTATACATCATTTAAAAAAAAAATAAAATTATATACTGTATATTTTTTCACAAAAATAAAATAAAATTACATATAACTTTTTAATATATAAAATTATATATCATCATTTTAAAAAAATAAAAATTACACAATATATCCAAATATAACAAAAATACACAAAACACTATAAAATATTACAAAAACTCCGCTTGAAGAAAGCCTTAGTTGCAATATCAAAGAACTTAGGTCGTGTTTGACAATTAACTGATAGCCGTTAGCTGATTAAATTAGCTGATAGCTGTTAGCTGATTCAATTAGCTTGTTTGACTAGTTGATTCGATTAGTTGTTTGTATTAAAATGTTTTGTAAAACAACTGTTTGATATTAGTTGTTTATACGTAAAATGACAATTGAGGACATTTCTATTTTATTTTTGTTTCTAATATATTCAATTATGTTCTTTTAAGTTTAGAATGTTTAAAATTTTTTGTTATTAGTTATTGAAAATTGTAAAAGTGTTATAAACGTATTTATTTTTATTACAATTAGATTTAAAAAATAATATATTTTTATTAAAATATATAAATAATTTTTTTCTATTGAAAATGATGTAAAATATAAAATAATAAATTTTCCGTATATATATTTATTATGTTAGTTATCGATTAATTCATTATATTTATAATTTTTAATAAATTTAATTTATTTAATTTATTTTTAGTATAAAATTTATAAAATGTAATTTTAATATAAAAATAAATTATTAATATTTATATTTTCTATTTTATGTTGCTTTTAATAAATTTATATATTTTATAATTAAAATAATTTTTATATAAAAAGTAATTATTTTAAATTTATAAAAGTAAAATTATAATATAATAAAATATTCTAATATAATTAATAAATAATCAAAATATATTTATTTGTGTAAAATGCATAATAAATTTTTAAGGGCATATAAGGAATAAAAAATTTTTTACAGAAAAAACTATTTCAAAATGCTGGGTAAGTTAGCTTTTCAGAAATCAGCTTTTTGGGGTCCAAAAAGCTAATTTACTAAACACCTAAATCAACTTTTTTGACTGGTAAGCAGTTAAAAGTTGTTCAATAAGCTAAAAGCTATCAATAGCTATTTGACAAACACCCCCTTAATTTCAAATCAAACACCATTTTTTTATATAATACTAAATATTTAATTTACATTTAAAACATCAAATTAACACCTATTTATATTAGTTCATACAACTATTACAATTCAATTTTTTTACTATTCAAATTTTAACTCAAAATCCAAATCCCCAAACAAACACACCCTAAATCAAACAAAAGGACAATAAAGACAAGTCATATTAGATAAAGCATACGTGACAGAAAAAACCTGAATGCATCGGAGTTTAAACTCATAACCTCACGGTCACGAGTCCACCCCCACACCACCAAACCTTCTCTTACGGATCTTCTCTTACGGATAATATAAACTTTGGATGAATGGTTGGTTGTTCTTACTCGTCCAAATGCTACATTTTTTTTTTCTTTTGTATATAACTTTTGATTTCAAAAGTTTTATTAGATTTTTATTATTTATAAATTTTAATTTCCTCCGTCCCATAACAAAATATTCATTTTTTTTTTATTTTAGTTCGTCACATAATAAAGTATCAATTTCTTTTTTCTAGTAACTATACTATCTATCTAACATTACAAATACCCTTACAATTTACAATATATTACTCAAATGCCATTACTTTTATATCACACATACTAATAATGTTATTTTAATCATTTCTATTTTATTCATACTATATCTCAATATAATACTCTATCCGTCCAGCTACAAAGTATACATATTTTTATTTTGGGACGTCCAATTACAAAATAACAATTTCATTAAGTACCTCATTTTTTCACAAATACCAATACTTTACATCACATCGTTACTTTTATACCAAAAAGTAAAGACAAAAATTTCATTACACTATTTTTACCTATCTATTTTAATTAAAATACTATTATTTTTTAAATTCTTGCGCCAAAGGTAAATATGTATACTTCTTGCTTGAACAGAGGGAGTACTGAGGCCATCTCCAATCCTTCACTCTATTTTTTCAGTAGCTAAGTAAAAATGCAGTTGATCTACAGTGATTTTACTCCAATCATAAACTTCAATTTTCACTCTAAAAAGTATATTATCTATATATTTTTCTTTATATACCTTTTCATATTTATAAATTACATCCCAACTTTAATTTATTTTATATATTATAATCCATACCTATATAATTTATATATTTTTTAAAAATTTACATATATAAAAACTAACATTTATAATTAATAACTATTACAAATAAAATAATTTTAAAAATAAAATAAAATTATGCATCACTTTTAAAATAATAAAATTATATCACTTTTTTAAAAAATAAAATTATATATCACTTTTAAAAATTAAAATTGTATATTATTTTTCAAAAAGAAAATAAAATTATATATAACTTTTTAAAATATAAAATTATATATCATTCTTTTAAAAAAAATAAAAATTACACAATACATACAAAAAAAAAATAACAAAAATACATCAAATACCACAAAATACTACAAAAACTCCACTCCATTTTTGGAATGGAGGCAGTGTTAACACTGTACAAAATTGCATAAATAGGGGGGATTTGGGGTAGGTTGGACCCCCTCTCCTATTTTTGGCACAACCCACTGCATTTGGGTTGGAGAAGACCTAATACTTTTAAAATTACGCGCAAAAACAAATGAATATCTAATTACGAGACAGAGAGAGAGTATTACATTAAAAATTAATTTGACATTCAAAATATCATATTAATTCTTATTTATATTACATCAAATAATTATGTAAATTCAAAATTTTAGTATTTAAAATTCAAATCCGCAAACGATCACATCTTCAATAATATTCGTAACTTTCATTATCTTTGATTGTACTATTGAATGACTTGTTAATTACAAATAATTCCACCATTTCCCACTATAATTGTCACGTTTCATCATTCATGATCGACCTAGATTGACTTCTTAGGGTGTATTTGTTTTATAAAATTATTTGAAGGAAAATTTTTTGCTTTAAAACATGAAGAATCGTGTAAAAAAATATAAAATTAACTAATATATAATATATTAATATTTAAAAAAAAAAACTTGTATATATATATATTTTTGGTTAAAAGAACACACTTTTATTTCCTTATATCTGCAATTTTTTTTTTTTGGCTGTCTTTATTCTAATCTATCATTGATTGGTCTCAAGTCGGAGAACATTAATTATTTTATCCATTTGGGTGGGTCGATTTGGATAGTTGGACCGACTTGAATGATTAAATCTAACACTAACAAAATTATATTTTGTTTGAGGGTTTGGGTTTTGAATTGAGATTTGAATAGTAAAAATTTTGAATTTGAATAGTTGTATGATGTGATATAAACAGGTGTTGACTTTGATGTTTTGAATGTAGAATTAATTTTTATTATAATATAAAAAATAAAAAATATGTGTTTGATTTAATATTTTTTGAGAAAAAAAAAATAGGACTACTAGTGGATTGAAAATTCAATCCCCCAAACAAACACAATTGATCCATATCGATTCTAACTAACCAGAAGAAAGTCTTCGATTTTGGCCCACTTTAATTAATGAATTATATATCGATGTACTCTATTAGTCAAAAATGATGTACAAGTATATGTCGCTGTATTATTGGAAAGTAAACTATTTCTAGAATACGTATGTAGTTAGTCTACTCAATTAAATTCAAACAATTAATGGGCCTTTAAAAGAATTAGATAGTATATACAATCTTTTTAATATATAAATATAAATTTACAAAAGTGAAACTGTATTATTATTATTATTTTGAAATATTGGTAATTTTATTTTTACAAAAATTGTATCATGTCAATATGTGAAGAATTGTAATTGGTGTAGGATACAAGTAATTGTATATAATAAAACAAGAACATGATAAAATTAAAAAAAAAAAAAAAACAATAATAACAATTATTTTAAGTCCAAAATAAAATAATGCATTAAAATTGATTAAAATAAAATTTAGATCCCTGTCATAACAATTAACAATCATTGAATTGGTCCAATTAGATTTTATTTAAAATAATTTAAAATATATAGTTTTTTTATGACCTAGCAAATTAGGTCCGACAAAATCCAAAATTTAAACACATCCAATGTTTGAACTATGACTTTATTGTTATCAGTTCATCACACACTATTAAGTCATTTTTTTTTATAAACGTTATTTATTTTTTATTTTTTTATTTTTGTGATAACGTGGGAATCTATAACTCCTATTCGCCGAGTGTGTTTTGGATAAATCTTCAGCCGAACTTAGTAACCTGCAAACTTGATCCGACAAGAAAAATGACGTGTTTGTTTAGATTTGATATTTAGTAAAAATTTTAAATTTGAATTGTATGATGTGATATAGATAGGTGTGGTGCGATGTGATGTTTTGAACGTAAAACTTATTTTAATATAATATAAAAAATAAAAATAAATTTGATCTAAAAAAAAAACGATGAACAGTGAAAACTTGGCAAAAAAATTTCAAAGAAAACATACAAAGTGTGTTTTATTTGTATTTGTATAATATTTTGACACGGTGAAAAACACACAATACATTCTCCCATGCCTAAAAGGCCCATTCTATTTTTCATCATGGGCCTAATTTAATCACTTCGAAAAAGCCCATTATATAAAAACACAGTTCAACCTCAAACATAAGCAGAAGGTACAGCCTTGAGTGACTCAGCTTTCCTTAGCGTAATTCCCATTCTCTCCCTCATATCAATTTCCGCCGCCGGCCGCCAATCGAACCGGTGGAGAACCGACCCGAGCGCCAGCGGCAGAACCCGGTCGGAAAGCGGAACCGCCGGGCAGATCCGCCGGCCCGCCCCGAACGGCAAGAACTCGAAATGCTTCCCCTTGTAATCCGCCGCCGTGGCGTCCAGAAACCTCTCCGGCCGGAATTCCAGGGGATCTCTCCAGGTCTCCGGGTCCCGCCCTATGGCCCACACATTCACCAGAATCTGAGTCCCCGCCGGAATATGGAACCCCTCAAATTTGCACGGCTCCATCGCCTGGCGGGGAACCAGAAATGGCAGCGGCGGGTGGAGCCGGAGAGTCTCCTTGATCACTGCTTTTAGATACGGCAGATTCTCCAGGTCGCCTTCCGTCACCTTCTCGCCGGAGCCGATCGCCGATCGTAGCTCCGATTGGACTTTCGCCAGCGCCGCTGGCGAACGGAGGAGCTCCGTCATCGCCCACTCTAACGTGCTCGTCGTCGTGTCCGTCCCCGCCGTGAACATTTCCTGCCAAAAAATATAAAAAGCAAAAAAAAGATAATAATAATAATAAAAGATTACATTATTAAAAAAAGTGGATAAAATTGCTCAAAACTTCTTTGTTTCAAAATTCTCATTCTTTAAAAATTGCATGAAATTTCTATATATTTTAAAAAACTTTGAATCAAATATCTTTTGTAAAATAAAATTTTATTCAATATTTTTTAAAGTATAAGAGGCTGTATATAATTTTTAACTTAAAAAGTGAGGATCTATGTTGACTTTTGAAATTACAAAATAATTTTACGCAAAATTATGCAATATTTAGACAAGTGAGTTATCAACAATTTTTCCCCAAAAAATTTGATCATACTATTGTTTTTTAAGGCCAAAGTAACATAATTCATATTCTGTCTGCTTTATAAAATTGTGTTGTCTGCCTATATCGTATTTTTCTGTATTTATTACTATTAATTTTATATATGAGCAGAGTAACCGTTCCCTATACATATATAAATGGAAGGAAACTCACGAAGACGATCACGTTGATGGTGGAACCTTCTAGAACATCTCCACGGTACTCCAACAACACGTCAAGGTAATCCTTCTGGGACCTTCCAGAATCTTCCATTCTTTCCCGGAGAAACTCTCCGGCGACGTCGAAAGCTTGTTTCACGTGGAACTGAGTTGTTCTTCTGATCCTCTGAAAATCGAACCATTTCAGACATCCCCAGTAATCAGCAAAATTCGGCTTCCCTGCCCACTCCATCGTTTTTCCGGCGTGGTAGAAGAACTTGGCCCCTCTTTCCGACGCCGGATCGACAAGATTCCGGGAAAAAACTAGGTTTCCGATCAGGTTAAACGCCATCACGAAAAACAATTTTCCGAAATCGACGGCGGCGTCTCCGGCCGCCGCCGCCTTTACATGTTCCACAACCTCGTCCACACACGCCGCCCTGACGTGGCGCATGGCGTCGAGCCGAGCCGCTGAGAAGAACTCGGCGGCGCAGAGCCGCCGCAGCGTGCGCCACCGCGGGCCGTACTGGGCGACTATGAGCGAGCCGTCGTGGCTCACGTCGCCCTTCAGCGAGTCGTAGATTTTCCGTCCGGCTAAAACGGCGTCGTGGCTCTTGAACATGGCTCGAGCCGCCTGGCTCGACGAGACGACTACTGTGGTCATCGAGCCGAGCTGGATTGTCATCACGGCTCCGTGCTGTTTGGCCAGCTCGGCTAGCAATCGGTGCGGCGCCGAGGCGCCGCTGATCATCTGGAATATGTTACCGAACACCGGCCACCGCCGTGGACCTGGCGGGAGGTTTTTCCGGCGGCGGCGGATCGCGGCCGCCCACGCTGCGCATACAAGGATTGCCACGACGAATCCCATAGCTTGGTAATCCATTTGTTGCAAAAAATTAATTTCTGAAATTCGAGGATTAAAAGCAATTGTTTGATGATATTTCTCACGCATGACGCATGAACGAAGATGCTAAGTCGTAGTGAAAATGATGATTATATAGTGTAGAATTATTATTAATATATTAATAAAAATATATTTATTTATATAAAAAAATTGTTAAATATATTTTACATTAAAAATAATGTAATATGAATACTCCCGTGAAAACCTCCTAATACTGATTAATTTTAGATTGAAATTTAAGATTTCTTTTTATCAAAATCATAGTTTTTGTATTAATATTGATTCTGTTTTAGATTATAAGGAGGAATCAATTCTTGACAATTTCTTTTTCTTTCTGAAAACATGACAAATTTTGATTGAATATGTTAGTATAATCATAAATTGAGTGATATATATATATTAATAATGCTTATTGATTTGAGTTTTGATTTAAATATTTATTTTGATACTATTATTTCAAAGAAATTTATAATAAATTACAAAATAATAGTACTCCCTCCGTCTCAAATACCATGTGTACGTTGCCGTTTCTGTCTGTCCCACATACCATGTCACTTTTATTTTTTGGAAAATCTTTACACACTTTAATTTCTTTATCAAACTTTTTAATTTTTTTAATTAAACTAATTAGTTATCTTAATCTTAATTTATAATTATTTATATTATAAGATAATTATTGTCACTAATACATTCTTATTTATCTACTAATTACATCCCTCCTAAAATACCGTGTCTACAGTGTAGCAGATATGGTATGTGGGACGGAGATAGTAATAATTAAAACGAGATTATGCACTACAAAAAAAAATTACATACCTAGGACGTTGAGAATTCCATCGTAACTAATTTGTGACTGAGATATCACACTTTTTGTTGGGTTTTCTTTTGGCGAGGGAGTTAAGTGCTTGTTCATCTTTGTGTTTTTTAATTAATGTGTTATTTTATATTAATTATAGAAATTATGTCGATCATATAAAAAATAATCTTTAATATTAAATTATTAACTTTTTTGTGATTAGACAATTATATATTACTCCCTCCCCTCCGTCCCACATATCATGTCCACGTTGCCGTTTCTGTCCGTTCCACATACCATATCACTTTCTTTTTTTGGAAAATGATTACGCACTTTATTCTATTTTAAACTTTTTAATTTTATTATTTTTTAAAAATTTTAATTAAACTAATTAGCTATCTTAATCTTAATTTATAATTATTTATATTATCGGATAATTATTTTCACTAATACATTCTTAATTATCTACTAATTACACCCCTCATAAAATACCGTGTATACAGTGTAGCAGACACGGTATATGGGACGGAGGGAGTATATATCTTGTATTAATATGTATATATATATATTGTATTTTAAAAATAATTATGAAGAATCGTACCATAAGAAAATGAACATAAGTTGCACGAAGTTTTTTTTTATGAAATTTGCGAAGAAACAATCATCTTCTGGTTCCGTTGCAATTTTTTTTTTTTTTTTTAATTTTTATATTAGGATGTCATATTAAATGATTTTTTGGAAAATATATTACTAATTTCATACTAATTATTTCTTTATTAGAAAATAGGACTAATTTCGTTAGATTGTTAAAATAAGAAAATTGGATTAATTTAATAGGACCAAAGAAATACTCCATCCGTCTCATAACAAACTATCCATTTTTTCATTTTAGTCTGTCCCATTACAAAGTATCAATTTCCTTTTTAGTAATGGTACTATGTACCCAACATTACAAATACCCTTACAACTTACAATATATTACACAAATGCCATTACCTTTATATCACACAATACTAATAAGATTATTTTAGTCATTTCCACTTTATTCCTACTACATTCCAATATAATACTAATATTTCTAAAATTCCGTGCAAAAAACAAATGGATACATAGTTATGGGACGTATGAAGTATTGTTCAAATTTATTTTTATTTTTCTTGTTTTGTTGTAATTGAAATTTATTTTCATTTTAATTTTTAGTAAAAAAATACTATAATTTTCATGCTTTTCTTTATTCTAAAAAGAATATATTTTATCTTTACCTATTTTATTTTATTTTTAAAAATACTTGCCGTATCTAATGAACATTTATTTTGATGACGGAGAGTGTATCATTTTTTCTATATGGAATCGTAAAGCTAGTAAACAAATTTATATTTTCTCCGTTCTTTACCAATTTATTTATTTATTTATTTTGGTCTGTTCCTTAACAATATATTCATTTTTTTTAGTAATTGTATTATTTACATAACTTTACAAATACTTTTTAAATTTACACTATATTACACAAATGTCATTTAATTTATATTATACAATACTATTTCTAAAATTCCGTAAAAAAAAACAAATTGATAAATAAATATGGAATGAATGGAGTATATATTATCCTACAAATATGCACTCATCTGAAATCGAACCCGAATGCCCCAAACAGCGATATCCCATCACTTGATATGCACACTAATTTGACATACACACCTATATTTATAGGTCAAAGCCTTCACACTTAGGAAAGAGTATATAGATACATGTGTAAAATAATATATATATATATAATAAATAAATAAAAGAGCAAGTGTTATGCAGGGATTGAGATGACCTAATTAGCAACACGATACAATTAATGAAGAAAGTGAAAGTAAAGATGAAATCGTAAAATAACAAATTGCGTCACGATTTTTTTTTTTTTTAATAAAAATGAAAGTATATTATTTTAATTTGCAAAATGTTATTTTCAAATAATTATTCAAACGAAAAAATCTAATAACAAACTTGAAGTAGACAAACCTTGTGATCTAATGTTTGAAAAAAATGTATTAAAAATAATCTATTATTTCTATTAATTCCTCTATGGTTTTGACAATTTTAAAATATGACATATTTCATTTTATACACACATAAATAATAATGTATATATATATATATATAAATTTCATCTTTATTTTATTTGATTGTTTTTTTCTAGAATATTACCAACAAGTCTTCTTATGTTTTTTTTTTTATACTTATTAAAGATTAAAATAGAATCTTTATGTTTGAAAATATGTGTGTTTCTTTAGTGGAAGTTTGAATAGATTTATGCTATGTTTACATAATATATTTTCACTCATTTAGTATTGCGTCACGACTTTTCTTTCTTTTGTTTTTTTGTTTATTTTATTTTTAAGTGAGGCCGAAGACGGCTGTTCTCAAACCTCAATGTAAATTTCCTACTATATATAATAAGCAAATAAATTTAGAATTATTACAAATTTTATAAATAAAAAGAATATCCTCTGTGCAACACATGCATACATAACTAGAGATGTCAAATGAGGCGGGTTAGCCCCGGACCCGTTCTTAATGGGGCGGGTTTGGATCTAAATAATATGTTTTGGAGCGGGTTGTGGATTTAAAATTTTAAACCCGGCCGGGTTCGGGGCGGGTTACGGGTTTTACTAAAAATCCGCTCTAACCCGGACCCGGACCCGAACCTAGATATTTTTTAAAGTTATTATAACTAATATATATGTACATTTATATAATAAAAATATATTATTTATTTACTTAAAAAATTTTAAATATAAAATTCAATTAGTCGCCTGCTCCAAATAATTTTTTAAAATTATTATACCTAATATATGTATATTTATATAATAAAAATATATTATTTATTTATTTATCTTATTTTTATGGATCAATATTTGATTGTTTTTAAATTTTTTTTTTTTGCTTTTAATGCTATTTGTTTTAGTATTCGATTGTTAAAAAAATATTTATTATTATATATTTAAAAAAAAAACGGATTTGCCGGGTTGGCCTCGAACCCGGAGGGTTCAGGACGGGGCAGATCCTGGGGCTGGGTGGAAGCGGAACGGGGCGGATCTCGGAGCCTAATATTTTCTAGCGGGGCGGGTCTCGAGCTTGCAGAACCCGTCCCGAACCCACCCCGTTGACATCCCTATAAATAACGAGAGACTAAACTAAAAAAACAAACATATAAATCAAAATCAAATAAAAATAAAATATAACCTCATTATTATTATTATTATTATTATTAAAACCTTTTTTTAAGCTTGATTCCACCAACGAGGCACGTGCTTTTCTCCTTAGATATTTAGCAGGTTTGACCTGGACTGCTACACCAACTCCAACCCACTCATGCAGTGGGTTGAGCCCCCTCCCTCCCCATATTTTTTTATAAAATGATATATGATTATATTTTTAAAATTAATATATAATTTTAATTTTCAGAAAGTGATATAATTTAATTTTTTTAAAAAATAAAGTGTATATATATATATATTTTTTTTGTAAAAAAGTGATATATAATTTTATTTTTGTAAGTGATATATAATTTTATTTTTTTTAAAGTAACGTGTACTTTTATTTTATAAAAATTTATGTATAATTTTTATTTTAAATAGTTATTTGTCTCGATAGCATTTAATTATTTATTTAAAATTATTTTATTTGTAATAGTTATTAAGTATAAATGTTAATTTTAATATATGTAATTTTTAAATAAAATATAAATTATATGTGTATGGATTATAATGTTAAAATAATTAAAGTTGGGGTATAATTTATAAATATGAAAAATTATATAAAATAATATAAAAGAAGAATATACAGAGAATATACTTTTTAGAGTAAATATTGAAATTTATGGTTGAAGTAAAAGTACTGTAGATCAGCTTGTACTGTAGCAATTGTAAAAATGGAATGACGGGTTAGAGATGGCCTTAAATAAATGCTTTCTCCCTAATTTAAATTTCTGCTCAAATTTTTTTGACAAAATTTTTTACTTAGGTATATATATTTAATTATTTTTTTTATGATACAACAAATAGAAAATATATATAATTTTTATGAAAAAACTAGCATAAATTTAAATGACAAATTAAACATATATATGAGTTTTTTTTTTCTTTTATTATTATTCTTTTAATGTTCATTGTGGGCAAATTTTGACTAATATAGAAATATGTCGTTATAATGTTAGAAAAATAATAATTTGGATATGTTTGGTTCTATTTTTAAATAATACTAGTATTTGTTATGTTATCTATAATATATAGTATTTTTCTAATTATAAATAATATCATATTAAAATTTATTTTTTATATTTATAAGATATTGAAAATAAATTTTGATACAAAATATTATATTAAATAATTATTTAAATCATTAGCGTCTGACGAATTTGAACTCATGATCTCGCGATCACAAATTCAACTAGCACACAGTTAAGTCATTTTTTATGAAACAAAAATCAATATTTTTGTTGTTCAACCAGTACGTTTTATTAATAAAAATATCTCTAATACAAAAGTATCAAATTTAAAATATTATTTAAGACAAAATTTAAATTAATAATTCAAATCATAATACAAATCAAATAAACTATAAAATGCAACCAAACAAACTTTATTTATTATATATATATATATATAAAAATAAGGTAGAAATAATGGCCGCTGAAGACCAATTGTGTTTTTGTTCACATATTCACACTCTAACTCTTTCACAATGTATAGATACAATACCTCTATTTTATTACTCCCTTCGTCCCGACTATCGTGGTTTTTTTACCGTAGATATGAGAATTTAAAGAAATATAATTAGTAAATAATTAAAAATGTATTAATGAAAATATTTATCATATAATAAAAATAGTTTTAGATTAAAAAATATAATTAGAGTATATGACTATATATAACGTGGGATAAAATCCAAATTTACTTTAAAATAAATTACTTTATAATTGAACAATCCAAAATAAAATTAGGTATACTATGTAAGTTGACGAATAAAACAATATTAGAGTTCTCGGTTGCCTTCTCCGGGAGATTTGAACTACCCGTCGTTCTCGGTTGCCTTCTCCGGCTTTAAAAGCGTTGTGACGTATAAACGAAGCGTAAGAAATGTCGGGAAGGAGGCGAATGCCGTGTACGAGGTGACAGTGCACGCACCGGACGGCGTGGAAGTGACCGTGACACCGAGTAAATTAGAGTTCGGCGAGAAGGAAGACACTCTATCTGAGTCTACAGAGATAAGGATAAATCTAATAAATAAATACAATGGCAATGGTAATGGTAGTTAAGAAAACATTTCTCATCGCCACTTAATTTTTAATACGATTTTCGATTTATATTAAAAAAATATAATATAGATATATTTTTGTACAAAATATATAATATATAATTTATACACTAAAAAATATAATAGTTTAACACTACGACGATCGAACTGCACTCATGCCTCTCCCGTGTCAAGTTGACCGCCCCTCCCCCCTCTATTACTCTATCCGTCCCGTTTAATTTATCCACTTTTTCTATATTCATCCATCCTATATAAATTATCTCTTTTATTTTTTGAAAATATAATTATACATTTTAATCATATTTTAAAGGGTAAACAGTTTTTTTTAGTCCCGTAACTGACCCCCTTATCGTTTTAGTCCTGTATGTGGAGCCTGTCGCAAACTAGTCCCATAAGTGAAAATTTTTTGCTGTTTTAGTCCTCCGGCGCCGGAGATGCCCGCGTGGCTCGCCGGAGGTGACGTGTCCGCCAGGTATCGTTGACCTGGCGGACACATGGATTTTTTTATTTATTTTTTCATTTTTTAAAATTATTTTTAAAACTTATTTTAAATTTATTTTAAATTTTATTTGTATTTTTTTATTTTTTTTATTTGATCCAATTTTAAAAAAATTAAAGAAAAATAAATAAATCCACGTGTCCACCAGGTGTCGCTGACCTGGCGGGACACCTGGCGGACACGTCACCTCCGGCGAGCCACGCGGGCGTCTCCGGCGCCGGAGGACTAAAACAGCGAAAAACTTTCACTTATGGGACTAGTTTGCGACAGTCCACTTACAGGACTAAAATGATAAAGGGGTCCAGTTACGAGACTAAAAAAACAGTTTACCCTATTTTAAAATTCATAATTTATATATATATTTTTATTTTAATTAACTATTAAGTCATTCTAATCTATAATTATTTTTACTAATATACCATAATTATTTTTACTAATATATTTCTTAATTACTTACTAATTACATCATAACTAAAACTTCGTGCCTCAACTAAAATGGACAAATTAGTTGGGACGAAGGGGGTATTTTTTTTTACACTACTTTAAACTAAAAATATAAAATTAATACACCAGTAAAATAAATTTTAAATTATTAATCTATTTAAAAAATCATTAGTAATATAATAAAATTAATGATTATAAATAAATATATGTAATTGTAGCAGTATATTCAAATAAAATATTATATTTTTATAGAAGCAATAAAATATAATTTAAATATAAAAATATATATACGTATAATATTAAAAAAAGAAATTATTTTAATTTTTATTAGATTAGATAGGAGAGTATTATATATGGTAAGTTTTTAAATTAGGTAAGTAGCCGTTAAGCATAATGATTTTGATTTTAATATACACATAATATTAAAAAAAGAAATTATTTTAATTTTAATATACACATAATATTAAAATGTGAAATTATATATGGTAAGTTTTATATTAGGTAAGTAGCCGTTAAACATAATGATTTTGATTTTGATTTTAATTTTAATATCCACATAATATTAAAAAAAGAAATTATTTTAATTTTAATATACACATAATATTAAAATGTGAAATTATATATGTTAAGTTTTTTTATATTAGGTAAGTAGCCGTTAAGCATAGATTTTGATTTTGATTTTGATTTTGATTTTGATTTTAATTTTAATATACACATAATATTAAAATTATATATGGTAAGTTTTAGCCGTTAAGCATAGATTTTGATTTTGATTTTGATTTTGATTTTAATTTTAATATACACATAATATTAAAATTATATATGGTAAGTTTTTTTTATATTAGGTAAGTAGCCGTTAAGCATAGATTTTGATTTTGATTTTGATTTTAATTTTAATATTAATATACCCATAATATTAAAATGTGAAATTATATATGTTAACTTTTTTATATTAGGTAAGTAGCCGTTAAACATAGATTTTGATTTTGATTTTGATTTTAATATACACATAATATTAAAATTATATATGGTAAGGTTTTTTATATTAGGTAAGTAGCCGTTAAGCATAGATTTTGATTTTGATTTTAATTTTAATATACACATAATATTAAAATGTGAAATTATATATGGTAATAGTTTTATATTAGGTAAGTAGCCGTTAAAACATATATTATAAATACTCTTGATTTTGATATTGTATACATTATTATAAATTTTTGGGGCTGCAATGCAAATGCAATAGGGAGGGTACGAGCAAGGCAGGGGCAGGGGGAATTCCAAGAAGGGGATGAAGAAGGTTTTGTGAAGAGGGTTCCGGAGAATTTCGGGAGGCAGGGGCAGGCGCAGGGGAATTCCGAGAAGGGGATGAAGAAGGTTTTGTGAAGAGGGTTCTGGAGAATTTCCGGGGGCAGGGGCAGGCGCAGGGGAATTCCGAGAAGGGGATGAAGGAGGTTTTGTGAAGAGGGTTCTGGAGAATTTCCGGGGGCAGGGGCAGGCGCAGGGCTGATTCCGAGAAGGGGATGAAGAAGGTCTTGTGAAGAGGGTTCTGGAGAATTTCGGGGGGCAGGGGCAGGGGCAGGTGGAATTCCGAGAAGGGGATGAAGAAGGTTTTGTGAAGAGGGAGTGGCCGGATGATCGGACGATCGAATACATCAAAGGGAGTAACCCGTCCCTTTCCTTTTACATTTATGCATTTAATTTAGTTTAACATTATGCATATATGAATAGATTTATTTTTACGTCCGTCTCGGGACATGCATGCATTAATTTTTTTGTTTATATATTTTATACTAACTTATTTTCAAGTGTTTTTAATTTGTAGGTAAAGCTTATGTGGAGATGAGGGGATCCGCAAAGATCCTTCGATCTCGATTGCAAATCCAAGGTAAGTGATTTTAATATTATTTTTTTGTTTCCTATACATATATACTAAAAGACCTCGTACTAGTGGAGTTCACTTGGGGACTTATATTTTTTTCGCAACTTCCAACGTGGGACTTGAGATTGCACCCCAACATATTATTTGAATAAAAAATTAAAATAAGAACACAAAATCAAATTAAAAAAATAAAAAAATCATTATGAAATTATACAATAAGTGTGTTTCTTTAATAATTTTTATAAGTTAAATTGATTCTAATTTAAATTGAAATTAAATATTATTTATAATTTTTATAAAAATATATTATTTTTTAGTGAAAATATTATATTAGAATACTAATTAAATAAAATGAATATTTGTGTAGTATTTACTATTTGTTGTAGATTTTATGTCAGTTATTAATATTTTTAATTTTATTTAGGTAAATTTATTATTATTATTTTTTAAATTATAGAAACAATACTACTTTCTTTAAATAATGTAAGATAAAAAGAATAAAATGAATATTTTGAGTGATATAATATTGGATATAATATTAAAAAAATAAATTAAATAATAGAAAAGAATTAAAATTGATGCTTATTTACGCTTTAAGTATTACATTTATTTTTTGTAAGTATTAGATTTAACATTAAATATATTTTTATATTTGTGTAATTTTTTATACAAATATTATTATACTAGTATAATAAGACACTAATATAAATAATTTTTTTTTTTAATTTGTATTACACTTTGATATAATAATTAATATTTACAAATCATATCCAAATGTAAAAAGTAAATATTACAAGGACGGAAGGAGGAAGCATTATTTTTTTTAAGAAAAAAAATAATTTTTGGTCACAATATAACAAAAATTCATCAATTTTGGTCATAATATAAACATCTTATCAATTTTGGTTCAAATATAATCAAAACTCATCATTTTTTGTCTCAATATAAATTTTTTATCAATTTTAGTCCCAATATAACCAAAATTCATCATTTTTGGTCAAATATAATTAAACCTTATCTTTTTTTGTCCCAACGTTAACAAACCGACGAAAATGCTGACATAGACTTGCAAGATTGTGCAATTTCTTCAAATATAAATATAAGATTTGATTTCTTTTCAAGTTAATATTTTCCGTCGGTTTGTTGATTGTGGGAAAAAAAAAGGTTTGATTATATTGGGACAAAAAATGATGAGTTTTGGTTATATTGGGACTAAAATTGATACAAAATTTATATTTGGACAAAAAATGATGAGTTTTGGTTATATTGGGACAAAAATGATGAGTTTTTGTATATTGAGACCACAATTAATAAAACTTTTATATTGAGACCAAAATTGATAAAATGTATATTTTTAATTGAGATAAATGAACATAGTTAAAAGAATACTTTAAGGGTGTGTTTGTTTGAGGGTTTGAATTTTGAGTTGGGATTTGAATAGTAAAAATTTTGAATTTGAACAGTTGTATGATGTGATATAAATAGGTGTTGATGTGATGTTTTGAATGTAAAATTGATTTTTAGTATAATATAAAAAAATAAAAAATAGGTGTTTGATTTGATATTTTTGGGGAGAAAAAATAGGATGAATAGTGGAAATCCAAACAAATCCCTCAAACAAACACATCCTAAATTGATACGGACGAGTACAATACATTATTTTAATTCCATAATATTTTTACAATTTTTAGTACTCCCTCAGTCCAGTTACGAAGCATACATATTTCTATTTTGGGACGTCCAATGACAGTAATAATTTCATTAAATATTTTTTTTTTCATAAATACCCTTACTTTACATCACATCATTACTTGTATACCAAATACAAGGGTAAAAATGTCATTATACTACTTTTACCTACCTATTATAATTAAAATACTATTATTTCTTAAATTCCGTGCCAAAACTAAATATATACTTATTGTTTAGACGGATGGAGTATTTCATAACAAAAACACTTAAAATTATCAATATTAAACAAATATATTACTAATATATCTTGCAAATTTATAAAGGAAAAGGAAATACAATTAAATGATCGGAGGTAATAATAGCTAAGTTCAAGAAGTAGTAATTTTATTATTATAATGATAATTTTTTAAATAATGAAAATTGAAATAGAAATAGAAATACATGCAAACATATATAACAATGGACTGAAAATTGGGGTTGGGCCAAACCCTATTGTGTAATCTCGTTAAAATAAATAATATTTTGAATATATTCAACGAATATTTTAATTAAAAAAGTTTTATATAATAAGAGATATTTTTTTCTTTTGATTTTATGCACTATTTATATTTATCGACAAGATTTTTTTATTTTTTATTTTTTTAAAAAACCCTAAAAATATATATTTTTCTCCAAACAAGCAAAGATTTAGGTAACTTTTACTAATAGATAAATTATGGATTTCCTTTTGACATATAGTTTAAAAAAAGAAAAAAGTTTAAAAGATTCAACATATAGTTTAGGAAAAGAAAAAATTTTAAAAATATATACGGACGGTTAGGATTACATCTACAAAATCAACGGCTGATATATCGGAATGAAAATACGTTCCGAACCATTATATAAAGGGTTCGCTCTTTGCTTTTGCCGTTGTACTTTAATTATGTTATCGAAGATTTTTCTCTACTTGTTTTTCTGCTGCTACAAACTGATACTTCATTCAAAGGTATGGTTTCTTTCTCTTATTTGAATTTTGTTCGATGTTAATTATGGGGCTTTCTGTTATGTTTATTTTGATATATATGTGATTTTTTGTTTGTGATGTATGCGATGAGTGGTGTTATTTTTGTTTTGAAGGAATTCTAGTTCGTATCGATGTGATATTTAGTTGGAATTTGATTTTTGGTGCGCTTTTGCAATTCTAAAAAAAATAATAATACAAAATACAAAATATTTTACAAAAATCAAAAAGTTAAAAAGAACTTTAAATGCTAATTATACAAGATCAAAAAGTTATAGATATTCAATGGTTTTCTAGTAGTTAGATTTAATAATGCATGGCCATGCAATTGCTATGATTTTTTATTTTATTTTCTTTTTAGTTTATAGTTAATTTTGATAAAATAAAAACTTTAACACTTGTTTGCTAAACTTAATTACATTATATTTTTACCATGGTTAATTACCAATTAAATTTTCAAAAATATTTCTAATTATTTTTTTCTTTTTATAATTTTTCAATAAAATATATTAAGTAACTTTTTAAAAAAAAAAAAAAAAATTGTATCGAATTCAAATGGACTATGTAATTTAAAAAATTATTAAAAACATTTAATTTAATATCTTCAAATCGCAAGACAATTTTGTTGGTAAATCTCCAAGGAGAGGAGAGGAGCATAGAGCTACTTGTAGGCGTTCGACACGTGTCCCCTCCCATTAACTTAAGAATTAGTGGTTAGTTTCCTTTGCAACTAACGCCAACTGCTAACAAAAGCATCATTTTGTAAACACTTGTACTTTTTAAAATAAGTAAAAAAGTGATATAACTACTATGTATTATTTAATTTATGTTTTATGCTATATTTTATATATACATTTTTTAAACAAAATTACTTGTCAATACTATCAAAATTTTAAAATATATTTACATAAACAGAGCAATAAAACTTATATAATATTTAATGTGCGGTAGCCAAATAAATATTATAATTACTTTCTTAATATAATTATAAAATTATTTTACAATTTATATTGATTAAAAAAAATAAAATTGATTCGTTCTAGCGAAGAAAATCGTCGAACCGGCGCTTCCCGACGAGCTCACCGATTCGTATCGTGAATTCGAAAAACGGGTCGACGAGTATGTCGCGTCGGAGACTGTATCGATGCTCGCTCTTCTACCCGACAAAAGCCCCAATCGTGGTTACGCCACGGAAATTCTCGCGCCCGTGAACAACATATCGAAGTGTCTCCACCGATACGGATTAACGAACGCGGAAGGTTACGCGCGAACGTGCTACATACTAATCCTACTCGACGACGATCAAATCGTCGACTGGTTCGTCGGGATCGTGCGGCAGTGGGTGAGGTGGTTCTTCGACTGCGACAATTTCGCCGAAGTGAAGCGGGCAATATCAACCCAGGTGCGGATGTCGTGCATACGAACGTTGGCGTCGAAGTACCGAATCCACGAAACGGAGATCACCAAGAAGTTCGCCGAGGAGCTGAGCAGGATCCCGTTGTCGTCGACGGACGAGATCGAGATCGAGCTCGAGGATGTTTATTCGGACATGGTTTCGAGCGAAAAACGAGCTCGACGGCGCGTCGATGTACGGGGTGAGCGACAGCGGGGTGACCCAGGTTGATATCGGCACTTAATTTTCAATATGGTTTTCGATTTATATTAAAAAAAATATAATATATATAGTTTTGTACAAAATATATAATATATAATTTATACACTAAAAAATATAATAGTTTAACATAAAATATTATTTCCTCAATCCCACTTAATTTGTCCACTTTTTCTATATCTGTCCGTCCCATATAAATTATCTCTTTTCTGTTTTGGAAATATAATTATATACTTTAATCATATTTTAAAATTCATAATTTATATAAAAAAAAATTTAATTAACTATTCAGTTATTTTAATCTATAATTATTTTTATTATACCATAATTATTTTACTAATATATTTCTTAATTACTTACTAATTACATCATAACTAAAACTTCGTGTCCCAACTAAAATTGACAAATTAGTTGGGTAATTTTTTTTTACACTACTTTAAACTAAAAATACAAAGTTAATACACCAGTAAAATAAATTTTAAATTATTAATCTATTTAAAATATCATTAGTAATATAATAAAATTAATTATTATAAATAAATATATGTAATTGTAGCATTATATTCAAATAAAATATTATATTTTTATAGAAGTAATAAAATAT